GTAACGGACCATCATGCGTTGTGCTGGTTGGCCAGTTTGAAACACCCTTCTGGCCGCCTCGCTCGATGGAGCCTACGGCTTCAGGAGTTTGACATGAAGGTAGTCTACACGTCTGGTCATAAGCACTCCGACGCAGACTGCCTCTCAAGAGCCCCTGTCGGCGCACCACCAAGCCATAAAGACGACGATGCCTTTCTTGGGCCTAACAGCAGCAGCACCTTTGCATTACAGCAGCGCTCAGACCCGATCCTACAACAGTTGATCAACTACATTGAAGGAAAGGCCTCCATACCGCCTGCACTGTTCAAGCGTGGGATATCCTCCTTCTGTGTGCAAAACGAGGTGGTAGTTAAAAAGAACTTCGCACCGAATAAGGCAGCTTACCTTCTTGTCGTCCCAAGCAGCCTCAGAGAAGAAATTTTACAAGCGTTACATGACGAACACACTGCAGGCCACCTCGGTTTTACACGCACACTCCACAAAATTCAAGAACGATACTACTGGCCCCGCCTCTCCTCAGATGTTGCGCGGTACGTGAAGAGTTGCCGTTGGTGTCAGTGCCGGAAGAGACCTCCAACAAAATCAGCTGGATTTCTCAAGCCAATTTAACCCCCGTCGAGACCATTCCAACAGATTGGTATGGACCTGCTTGGAACGTTCCCCACATCAACATCCGGTAACAAGTGGATCATAGTGGCCACTGATTACCTTACACAATACGCTGAAGCTAACGCCCTTCCGAACGGCACAGCCGTAGAAGTTGCCAAATTTTTTGTCGAATCAATTCTCCTCCGTAATGGCGCACCTATGATACTAATAACAGACAGGGGAACGGCGTTTACGACTGATCTTACTCAGGCAATCTTACATTACAGTCATACAGATCACCGAAGAACAACTGCGTAAAATACGCAGAAAAACGGTCTCACGGACGCTTGAACAAGACCGTTGCCGATATGCTCGCTATGTACGTGGACACAGAACACAAGACCTGGGACTTAATTCTGCCTTACGTGGTCTTCGCCTGCAACACCGTGGTGCAGGAGACCACTAAAATGACACCATTTAATCTCGTCCATGGGAGGGATGCCGTTACTACCCTGGACGCCATGCTGCCTAGTGTCACCGATGAAAACAACCTAGACGTGGCCGCCTACTTTCAGCGTGCAGAAGAAGCCTGGCAGCTTGCTCGTCTGCGCATAAAAGACCAACAGCGAAACGACGCAAGACGCTACAACCTGCGGAGACGCGATTTAACATACAGGCCAGGTGAGAGAGTCTGGGTTTGGACGCCCATTCGCCACCAAGAAATAAGTGAAAAACTCATGCGCCGTTATTTCGGCCCATACAAAGTCATGCGTCAAGTGGGTGAAGTGGACTATGAAGTGGTCCCTGATGAGGCTAGCTCATCCCAACGACGCCGCGCACGACAAGAAGTGGTACACGTCGCCCGTTTGAAGCCCTATCATGCGCGCTAAAGGAGGCTCCCTGTTTGCATCTCTTGTTTTGTTTATGTGTGCGTGATTCGTGCTTATTTGACATTTACGTTCACACAGGCTGTCCTTTTGTTTTGGTTTTATTTTAAACGTAGCATCGTGTCGATGCTTACGTTGAGGAGGGGAGCAATGCCGCGAGGCGTATTGCGGATAGTGTTGCGCATGCCGATACCGCCGGCACGCGGCCTTATTGTGGTCCAGGATGCACCAAGATTCATTTGCGAAAATCATGGCCCGCACGTCGCCCATTCGTGGATTACGAGATAGCGCCAGACGCTACGGCGACTGTATCTCGAATGGTGAACGCGCCTTGCGATCCAGTGGGACATTCCGTTCCCCGGCGGCCGTCGAACACGCTTTTCGCCACTCGCTAAGCCGATGTGTCTGTTTTCCTTTAGTGGGCGCAAGTCCGCCAAATAAACGGATCTCCTTCTATTTCTACTAGCCTCCCGGTCTCCTGTCTTCAGGCTACCCTCACTCTTACGTGACAATATATATATATATATATATATATTAGTAGTAGTAGTAGTAGTATTTTTATTTACAGTAAGCCGGATACAGAGCTCACTGCAGGGGCAAAGGGCTAAAGGCGAACAGCCTGACAAAGGCCCTTGTCCCTCTGCAGTCTATGACAGTGCAAAGCTCAGACATCAGCACTGACAAACAATATATATATTCAATACATTGGTTTCAAGCAACCTGAAATTGTAAACACAAAATTCAAACATAAATAGCATAAGAAGTTTACATAACACATTTTAATAATTAGAGGTCACTCTCGTTAAAATTCACAACTAAGCAATATCAATGAAACAACTCAAAAACATACACAAAATGCATGCGGATACAATGAATTCCACTGTATACACTCGTATAATTGACATAGAAGTTTATGAACAATTTAAGCATTTGCAGAGGCATGAGACTCCATTACGTAGTTTCGATAGTGTAGACCGGTGGTTATGAATAAGTTCTTTGTTTCTTGAAAGTCGCACTACTAGCCCTAAAGTTCAATTGATCTGCAAGGGTATTTAAAACCTGAGGTACCTGGTAAGCAATACTTTGTTTTCCATATTGGGTTCTTGTTCTAGGAGCTCGTTTCTTTTGTTCTCGCAGACTGTAGTGTGGTCTTCCGGTGCAACTTTCTTCATATAGCTTAGTCTTTTGTATTAACTGAAGTAATTTAAAATGATACAATTGATCAATTCTGAGTATGGAATATATATATATATATATATATATATATATATATTGACGTCAGTGACGAAGGCTGGCCCACCAGCCGAAACGTATGTGAATAATAAAAGTGTTTCTTCGTTAGTCGTGCTTTTTCGCTTCCGTTATATATATATATATATATATATATATATATATATGAGTCATTTTTTATCAAGTCTATGTCGTAATTTTTTTCACCATCTCTGAACACTGAACATGCTGAAAAAGAGGGTGCTGGTATACAGGGATTCCCACATAACTTGAGCCAAGAATTTGAAAATGAAAGACACTTCAGTGGCGAATCGAACCAAACGCCTACTACTCGCACTAACCTGTAGGTACTCAGGCTATTTTTTTTGTTTCTCCCCTTACTAAATATTTCTTACTTTAATTACCTCTTTTTTTTTAATTATGGGCTCGAAGAACCTACGACAAAATTGTTTTTGTACGATGCGTCTAGCGCTGTTATTTTTAACGCGTTAAAAAGAAAGCCTATAGCAGCACTATTGCAGTACGCTCGCGGCCAGTCGCACGGCTTCTTTTCACGTTTTGCGGGCTTTTTTTACAATGTGGAAAAAATAACAGCACGAGACGTATCGTACAAGAAACAATTTAGTCAGTGGTTTCTGAATGTGCTCTACCTTTCAGTCTTCACACTTTGGGTTTCCTGCCGACAATTGAAAATTTACGTGCTTAGGAGTTGTCAATGAATTATTTTGGGCAGAAATAAAAAATAGCCTGAGCGCCTACAGGCTACTGCAAGTAGTATGGGTTTGGTTCGATTCGCCTCCTAAGTGCCTTTCACTTTCAAATTCTTAGCTCAAGTTATGTGGGACACACTGTATATGAATGTGAGAAGTAGGTACTATGGCGTTATATGTCGCGAAAAAAAAATTTGTGTGGCCTAAAGGGCACTTGAAACTTTGGGCGGCCAATTTATCTGTTTCGCGCAAAATAATTCATATAGCTTGACTGATACGAGCGATTGCTACGAAAAAAAAATTCTTCCTTATGTCGAAGCACTTCTTTTTCGTGACTATAATAATTTATATTTTGCTTGAACTTGATTTTTCGTCTTGGAAAAACATTGCGAAATGCTGCATGTTTAGCGTTTTTTTTACAAAAAGTACACAATGTTTTGCCAATTCATTTTTACATTTTCTGCCTAACATGTGCCCATATCAACTGATTAAAATACTTCCGGAGCGAAAAACGCAAAAATGTGGCCAGAGTATTCTCACAAAGCAGGAAAAGTAGCATTTTTACTCACATTGCCCCTCTGTTTTTCAATTGTAGCGGTTCAAGTAAAAATATTGCTTGTATATTTTTGCATTGTATACTTTATTGTAGGACATAGAGGAAGTTTCAAAAAAGTAGTTTTTTTTTGTTTGAAGCGAGAAAAATGTTTCTGTCTGAAGAACGTCAAGAAATTACAAAGCTCGCTTTTGCCTCGCCTTCACTGCATAGTATGTCAGCGCGTGGTCCTATTGGAGGCTACTCTGAAGCGAATAATGCACGTCATATACCTGCCTGCCACTTTTTTTACTGATATAGCCGCGTAAAAATTTAAAAAAAGACAATAGAGGTAAAACTATGCAATGGTGCCTTCCACTTAGACCTTCAAACAGCAGGTTCTATACAACCACTTCATAATCCAGAGGGGCAGAATCGAAGCCTGCGAAACAGTATTAGTACGTTGTATTTGGCTGCTGATGAAAAATTGACATGGTCCTAATAGTAATGAACGCGATAATTAGAGTACAGATATAGTTTGCCTAAGTTTTTCTAATGATGTTTCAGGAGTAGGTAGGTCAATGGTGATCGTTTAACCCTTGTGTGCACCATGAAATGATGTATCCTAGGTGCACATGTTAGACATCATTCGATATCATACCCATAAATGATACTTCAGTTACAAATTCTTGAGGGATATGAAAATTTTTATCCCGCTTTTTATCATTGGTCCGAAGGTGCTGACAATGATTTAATTAAAAGCCAGTTTAGTAATGGTGATGTGTTTTTAATATTTTCAACACACTAGGACCGATAAAAAATCTTGATGACAAGTTTAAATGACAAACGGAAATGACGAAACTAAGTGTCATTGAGGGGCACGATATCAAATTATCTCCAATGTGGCCTAGTATGCATCATTTCATCACGCACACTACGCACATATAAAGACATATACCACGTGAATATGCACGTGAATAGCTTTCCCTCGAACAACACTTATAGTTATGCCACTTTGCTTCATGACGGGATGTAATGAAGGCATACAATCACCTCCAAAATGACAATCTTCCCTTCAAACTCCTGGTAGTGAACAAGACCCGGTTCACCGCGATCCCCTTTGGAGCCAGGCACGCCAGGAATGCCGTCCAGGCCAGGCTCGCCCTGAAAAAACAAGCCCTTGCTTCAGCCACAAGCACAGAAGAAATACAACACAGGGACGTTTGAAGGCAACCGGATATAAATTTACCGACCTCAACTCTATGCATGTAGTGCAATACATAGCAGAGTGCGAAACAGCCCCCCCCCCCTCCAACACTTCAAAGATATTTTAGCGTTAGCTACACTGGCAAAGCCAAAGAGGTTCTCTTGCACGTACAAGAACCGTGCTTTGAATGAGTGTGAAGCCGTGACTGCGCGCGACTTGCCTGTCTGTGCATTCCAGAGCAGAGACGTTATAGCCGCGGCAGACGCATTTTCATCCAACCCCATGACTCGTGAACCTCCTGCCACGCTGCTCTTTTCGGTCTCATCTGCCACGGCACTACACACATATAGCGGGGTGTTTGCCAGTATGGCATAGCCATGACGAAGGGGAGCGAAATGGTTGTTCTGGGAGAAGAGCGGAAAATCTTAAAGGAGCAGTGACACCAAATTTCAAACTCGAGATCTGGCGTTCACTCGATTGCTTGGTATGCATGATTATTTAGCAATGTACGAATGATGTTCGTTTCTTAGAGGTTATTTTATTTCGAGCGCAAAGAGTATCCGGACGCTCCACGGCACGTTCCCGGCCACACGGCATCGAGAGTATTTTGACGTGTGTCAGCAAACGTCTAGCCCACGTCTCAGGCACTGAGTGACGATCAGTGAGCAGCAATCACATCAACTCTTTCAGTGTTGTAATCGTAATGACTACATGTGGTACCGTGTGGCAGCGACGCCTGTCTGCCTGGCAACGGCTTCACTCTGCGTTGTTTTTTTTTTTGTTAGTGCAGTGTGTTCGTGTTAATCCAGCGTTTTCACTGTGCCGCTTCAGGTGATTTTTCATAGAGTCGTGAGCGCGAATGTGATTAGTTAGTCATACGGTCATCGCGAACAACTAACATACACGCATCGCTCATATGTTTGCCAGCCAGCGTGGCGCAAGCATAAGTCTCCTGCTGCTTCGTCACTGCTATGTCCAGCGTAGATTTCTGAGTCACTGCTCAGAAGAGGAGCAAGCCGAAAATGATTCGCCATGCCACGAATCTCCGCGATTTTATATTCGTCAGTGTTTTTATCGGCTCTTATGGACGCTGATGACGGCAGTGTTGACAATGGAGGAGGCATGCCTATACATGTGTGCACCGAGCAGACGAAATGTCAACTGAAACTTGCGTCACCATTTCGTTTGGCCACGTGATCAGACAGGGAGAAACCACGGGAGGTGACCGCTTGGCAGCGTTTGAATGGGGTTTGATACTGTTCATACTAATCAATATTGATTTGATTTGATTGATATGTGGGGTTTAACGTCCCAAAACCACTATATGATTATGAGGGACGCCGTAGTGGAGGGCTCCGGAAATTTAGACCACTTGGGGTTCTTTAACGTGCACCCAAATCTGAGCACACGGGCCTACAACATTTCCGCCTCCATCGGAAATGCAGCCGCCACAGCCGGGATTCGAACCCGCGCCCTGCGGGTCAGCAGCCGAGTACCTTAGCCACTAGACCACCGCGGCGGGGCATACTAATCAATATTACATATAAAAATGTGTACCTCTGTTGCATCATTACAACTGAATTGGGGCTAGGAGATTGATGTCTACGTATTGACGCAAAGAAACGCGACATGCGTGAAGTTTATATCGCTGCCCCTTTAACTCATTGGATCCTGAAGTGGTTACCTAGTAATTACCTAGTAATGAGCGGTTGAACGTAGAAAGAACGAACAGAAGAAGGCTTAACACGAGACATTGGAGGAAAGGAAGGAACGTCTAGCAAAGCGGCGTCGCCTTTGACTATGAGGTGGAACTTGGTGAAAGCACCAGTGTGACTCGGACTTGCGAGACTGACTTCGTAAACACCACGTATAGATAGACTGCGGTAATTAAGACTAGACGCGGTGGTAATTAAGACTAGACGCGGGTAATTAGTACCATGCATGAAACGTTGATATTAGCGACGCGCCCTTATTTTATGTAGGCTATACGTCTATTTGGCATAGCCGTGCTAAGCCACTTCTAGATTTTTTAGGGGTGAAGCTCCTTATGGTCTAGGACAATGCCTCTCTCCAGCTTACCGAGTAGCATCTCCCTTATCATACCATAGAGGGTGCTGTCCCATACAGATGCATGCAAACTGCAGTTGTGTGATGATATACTAGATGGCGCTGTATGCATTCTGTGTCATCATCGCCATTTCTCGTCTAGTTTCCCAGAAGGCACTGTCCCTTAGATATGTGTGCAATACGGCCGTTTGGTAAATGGAGGCTAGGTGGCGTTGGAGGTACTGCTGCTCTAGGGTGCCTCGATGCGCATCCGGGCGCTCTACGGAACGGGCATCGAGGCTCTCTACGCTGCTCTCTGATTGGCTGCTGCGCGGGCTGCACCGGGCTCTGCCGGCGTGCCCATTATCTCTCCTTCTCTTGGATCGTCGCCATACGTGTTGTATTGTAAGTGCGGTGGCGGGCGCATCCCGAGACGGTGCACGCCAAGGAACCCGCTGCGAAACGGGCTCAACGAGAAGCAGACCCCGGAATGCAAAATCGGCAAGCGGTGTGGTTCTCAAAGTTTTTTCAGGCGAAGTTCGCGGAGGATTCATGGTGTAACCAAAAACCTCCGGAGCTTCACCCTACCTCACCAGCGTACACTCCGTGGAGATGCTGGTATTTTTTTTCTTGAGATTATCAGCCACATCCACCGCTACCCTATTGAAAATCCTGGGTTGGTGGATGCTGGAATCGTTGGTGGATATGGTGGAAAGAATAGTGGATATGGTAGAAATATTAGTGGATATGGTGAAAACTGTAGTGGGCGTAATGGCTGATGACGGCGAAAGTGGAAAAAACGATGGCAGAAGGTGGTGGTGGTGGTGGCGAGGCAATTGTGGTGATGGTAGAAAATGCCGGCTGATGACGGCTAGAGTGGAAAAAATGGGAGCAGATGGCGGTGGTGGTGGTGAGCCAATGGTGGCGACGGTGGAAAATGCTTGCTCATGGTGGTGAGGCAAAACGTGTTTGGTGGAAGGCTTGGTGAGCAAGGTGGATGACGGTGGCATGAGAGAAGCTTTGTGGATGATTGCGGCATGAGGAAAAGCACATCACAGTATGTGAAATTACTTATTTGTAGCGTTTCAATCTTTAATGCACAGAGATATATGTTTACGGTCAAAAGAAACCAACGCTGCTCATTACGCTTTCTAGTACGTTTTTTTTTTATTCCTGTGGTGTCTACAACGCTTCAATTTCTGTGGAGCATAGAATATGTGGCTGGGTATATGTTTACATTTCGCGCACGTACTTACATCAGTTCGACATTCGCGATGTGTTTGTTGTGATGTTCAGAAAACTAGAGTTGTCACTGTGAACATGACAATAAATATTTTACATTGGCACGTAGTTGTAGACAAATAAATGGGCTCCAATTCGTAATTGCCCCTTTCAATCATCAGAGCAGAATACAGAGGTCACTTGATGTCGCCACGCTAGAAACGCAACTCTGGTAATTCTCTCACACTCAATTGTTTCAGCCGTACCTTTAAGTTAACAAAGTGCGTGCGAATATGCATAAACTTTCACTTTCGACATGCGTCGAGATGAGCCCCAGCGAATTAGACTTTCACCCTACTGTTCTAGACCACCATAATTTCCACCAAAGTTTAGTCATACCGACCGAGCCCGTGCAAGTGTTATCGGCGCTTCTGGGATTCAGAATACACAATTTTGACGAGTAAAAATGACAATGAAGCACACCTGGGCCATCATTTACCCTAAATGAAGCCTTTTTTATTGTGTACGGTGTCCGCGCAAGAAGCGACAAACATCGATGCGACGCGCTTGCAGCGCTTCCACCAAAGGTACGCCTCCCCTCACCGACAGCCGCCGGTTGCACTCGCCGGCACTTCACTGGCTCTTATGCGAGAACATCGGTACGTCAATTCGTATGCTTACTAAACCAATATGATAGCATATAGTTTCTTGCACACTGCATTCATTTTGGCCAAGCTGTTATGTAGTTGTTCCTAACGACAGAGCAACAGTGGTGCGCTGGCACGAGTGCGCTGTGCGTTGCGCGAAAAAGATCAAAATCAATTTTGTGGGCGTATCTATTGAATGAGCATAGAAGCGTCATAAAGCCTGAACTGATATCGCCCTTTGGAAGGAGCGAGAAACGGATAATAAACTTGACAGTAACCACCGATAAACTCAACATGCTCCTCAGTCCACTGAGTTGTTGTTGTTTTTTTCCTTGCGGTTGTATTGATTGATGGATATGTAGAGTTTAACGTCCCAAAACCACAATATGATTATGAGAGACACCATAGTAGAGGATTCCGAAAATTTCGACCGCCTGGGGTTCTTTAACGAGCACCCAAATCTGAGCACACGGGCCTACAACATTTCCGCCTCCATCGGAAATGCAGCCAATGTAGCCGACATGCGAACCCGCGACCTGCGGGTCAGCAGCCGAGTACCTTAGCCACTAGACCACCACTGCGGGGCTCCTTGCGGTTGTAAATTGTAACGAAAACATACCGCTGTTGTCATTATTGCAGGGGCAATTGTTACAGGCAGCAGTTGTTCGTGTTTATCAAATGTGCAAATTTTAGTTGCAGGTGCAGATCCCGTCCCTCCCGACTAAACAACAAACAAGACTGAACTTAAACAGTGACTTTGTGAGTTGACTACTTCTTTAAAACCCATGTCACCATCTGTCGGCGTGACGCAGTGGTTGGTGTGCTCAGTTCGAAATTCATACGTGGCAGGTTCTATTCTGCGCTGTCGCATTTTTTTTCTTTTTTTACAGGTGCTTTCTACATCGTTTTTACACAATTATTTTTATTCTTTCTTTAGTGGCAGCTCGTCACGGTGGTTCTGATGCTGCTTCGCGCTCCAGCATTGCCGGCTGGAGCGCGCCATCCACCATCCACTCCACCATACGCCACCATACACCATGTGC